CCCCCCCTCCCCCCCAGCTGCTTCCCAGCGGGTCTCGTGGGGTCGGCCAGCTCCAAGCACTGAGCCTGGGAATGTCTGCTGAACCTCTGAACAGCCAGACACCCGAACCAAGAGGCACTGGAGTTCGGGGGGTGCTTTAGGAATTTCACACGTGTTGCTTTGTCTTTGGTTTCAGTCTCCCTGTGTTTATTGATTCCGGTCCTTATAATCTATTGCCTAAACCTGTTTGATTCTTTTGATTTTTTTTTTTTCTTTCTGAAAAGAGAATTTTCACAGTTTCCTATTCTGCCTTTCTTCCGTACGCCTCTCAATGGGATGAACAGCTGAAATCAAAAAGATAGTAGCAGGTATGAATCCAGAGGAGCGCGTCCCGATAGAAAGCCTGCTTGCGGAGGGTGTAAAGCTGCAGGAACAGAGATGCCACGGGCAGGCTGTCCGTAACAGCCAGACCCCGGGAGCCACACACATAGCCTGTCCCCCGGGCTTGGCCCCAGCCCCTTAGCTGGGGTCCCCCTGGTGCCCCAACTCACGGCTTTTCACAAACGGCCCGGCCCTGGAGGGCAGTGGGTGCTGTCTGTAAGTGCCATTTGCTTCCGGCGTCCCCTGAGGACGGGGCCCACGTGTAACTCCTGCCGCGTGCATGGCCCCGTGTGACTCTGTCTGCATGGCTGTTACGTTGCATCTGTGAGGCCAGTCCCTGTGGTCCCGGGGGCCGGGCTCTGCCTGTGGGCACGGCCTGCCACCACTCCGGTTCACATCTGCCCCGTGTGTTGCTTCTGGCTGGACATGACATGGTGTCACCTCACTCCTCTTCCAGCATCCGTCTGGTCCCCCAGGGGGCCGCGGAGGATGGGGCCTGCCTCCTCCAGCACTGCGGATGGGCGGTTTGGGCAGCATGTGGGGCTGTCCTTGTACCATTGACCATGATGTGGCCATGAGCCACAGGTACCCAGGGTGACAGCGAGGCCCACGGCTCAGGTGGCTGGTCTAGAGCCCTGTGGAGATGGCGCGGAGTGCTTCCTTCACGCAAACGGGGCGTGTGGAGCCCCGCGTCGGTCTATGGAATGTGGCTCGGGCAGGCGTCTTCATGACCTCAGGGTGTCTGGATGGGCGCCTGGGGAGCGGGGGCTGCTGAGGGGCCCTGTCCTCTGCCTGGCCCTGCCTTCTGTGTCACCTGGTCCTCCTGTCCTCCCTGAGGGTCTGGCTCAGCATACTCCTCACTGGCCTCTGGGGGAAGGCCACTGCGGCCCCTGGGAGGAGGCCAACCCCGTGCTATTGTAGCACGTCACAGGTCACCATTGGGGAGGACGGGCCAGCACTTCTGCGTGTGCCCGGCTGTGGGGCCTGGTCGGGATGTTTGCATGACCACTCACGGAACGTTTTTCTTCGTTCCGAACTTTCCCCCCGACCGGCCCTAACCGCTCACATCATCTTCCACGGCCTCCTCTGTAGAGACATGCGTGTTGTAGAAGTCGCATAAGCTGTGGCTGCTCGCTGCGAAAAGCTGACCCAGCGCCAAAGCATTTGTAGCGGACACAAGCTCCCGTGTGCCCGCCGGTGGCTGCCGGGCGCTCGGACTCCAGGCCTCTTCCTGGGCCCTTGCTCTGCGTTGGTGGTACAAAGAAAGCACGGCGGGCCTTCTTACACGCACCTGCTGCTCTGGCCTCCTCCCATTCCAGCCTGGCACTGCTCTAGGGCCGGCCCGCAGCCCGTCTCCAGAGCGGCAGGCAGGGGCAGCGTCGGGACCCCTGTGCGCCAGCAGCCGGCCTCTGGTCCATCAGGTCGCAGGTCTGGTCCCTGCTGGAAAGGAAGGCAATTGTTTGCCCTTTTTTTTTTTTTT